AGAAATTCAGCTTTTTAAAAATGTCAAAATAAACAATTTTTTTTTTAGATCATTACAAATCTCAAAAGATATCCAAAAATCAAGTTATATAATTTGACATGAATAGAAAACATGATTAGCTCTAGTATACAATACACTAAATACTGGGGTGTCAAAAGTATTGAAAATCTGAAAATAAGGCCCCATCCACACTAGTATGTATTCGTGTTGTTTTCGTTGTGGATGCAGTGTTCGTCCAAACTAATCCGATGGAAAACAGCTCCAGAGATGGAATGATCCGGTAGCACCAGCTCCCACGAATTCATCTGAGTACGGATCTGATTCGGCACTGTGTAGACGCCTGAAAACGTTGAGCTCTAGTCTTGTCCTTATTGGACCACGCCACTGTGACTTGCATCTTCCTGAATTGCTGGGTTTGTGACATCGGTCATGTGACGCTATTGCAGAAAACAGTTTAAACAAACCAGAGACAAATGGGAAACGGCATAGGTAGAACTACTTGCACAGAACAGACTCACTAACAGCAGAACACCCCTCTGTCACAGAACGAACACTCATATTCCACTGAGTCGTGACCTTTAGTCCGACAAAAGCTGAACTGCATCAGGGCACAAAGAGTGAGCCGTTTTTTGAGCGCTCAGTTTTTATGCAAATGAGCCATTTGGTTTTCTGTTTCATTTCTACAAAACGTAAAATACGCACAAAGCTGTGTGGATAGGGAAGGCTTGCGGACACAAAAAACGTGTCTGGACGCAAATACGGTGATACAGTGATCCATTTCAGTATAAATGTAACCTAAATCAATACGAAAACAAGTATTGAAACTCTTGAGCTGGTATCGATTCTACAAAAAAAAGTCACACCTTTCCTGAATAGCTTTAGAATGAGCTTGAGCTGTATCAGAACATAAGAGCACATAGATATACACCCATGGACCACTGTGGAACCTACCTGGACCACTGAGGGATTAGACAGATATAAGACCACATGGAAATATAAAAGAAAGTACTATATTTACTATTTAATGTTGAAAATTACATCCTATTGTCTATCATTGTGGTATCCGAATACGCCTTGAGGCAACTAATATTAAACAACAAAACCTGAAAATTATGAACATTCTGTCCCTGAAAATGCACAAAATACTTTCTCAAGCTAAAATAAAACATAACAGCATGAGCCTGTTGTTTTGACACGTTTGAAAGTTTGCACATAGAGCAGAGCTGGGACCTGCTCATCTCGTCCAGTGGGATCCAGCTGCTGTCAGAAACTGTCACTCATCACAACAGTAAAAGTTCAGTTCAAAACAACACAACTTCAGCTTTACATCCCAGTCCTAACCACAACTTTACATTATGTACTGTATATACATAGTACTTTCTTTCATTATAAAGCCATTCAGGAAAGGTTCATTTTGTCTCATGAATGTGGCTTTTTAGAATCAATACCTGCTCTAAACAGTATTTAGTCACAATACTAGTTTTAGTATTTATTGGTACCTGATTTTTCGATACTTTTGACAACACTGCTCATTATTGGATTACTCAAAGTTGTATTTTGAGTCACCCTGTATCCCATCTTCCACTTCTCTATTCTCGGTTGCGATAATTACACACGTTTTGTTTCTGGATAATGGGTGTAAGGTTAAAAAAAATGTCACACAGCCACTTTTAAACAGTAAAACCAATATGAAAATCCTTCGGCAACAATGAAGAGGTGGGGTCTCTCACTTCTGCAATTTTGACCAGGAAGTCGATCGGGCCCGTTTCTATTCTTAAACTGTTTTAGATCCATTTCGCACCACATTTACAATAAACAAAAAGTAAAACTGTGATAGACGAATGTTATAATTTATTACCAAACTGGCCCCAAAATTCATAACACATCTTCATTAAGAAGTTTTCCGAATTTAAAACCATTTGCTCTTTGAAATCGAAATTTTGTTTGCGACATTTCAACACTTCCAGCAAATTCCAGACAGCGTTATGCAAACTCTGAAGTCAGCTCCGGGTCGTCGGATATCTGAAGAATGCTGGAACATTTTAAGCGCTTCATAAATCAATAAACACATCAGGTAATTACAGGTGGGTTTGGTTGCACTATTGCCTGAGGTGCAGATGAATTGTTGGAAATTGGAAAACATCTAGTTGATAAGATTTGCAATTCCGTTTAGATTTCATGTTATATTCATGTGCAAGAGCTTTGGCGTTGGAGAGAAAAGTGATATGTTTACAACTGGAATCCCATGTATTTCAGAACATGTTTGTGGAGCCCTAAACTACAGGGTGAGCCGGTCTTATATAACAGGCAAAGGAGACAGGATATTTTAAAGTATGGAGAGGACATTGCGTTTGGGATTTTGCAATAGCACCGTTGTTCAAATTCCGGCCGCGCCATACGTGAAAACTGCAGTATTTGTTTTGTGTTGGTAACAAATTTGAGATGTGGATTAAGTTAATTAAAATTGCATTGTGTAAGGTTTTTGCCGGAAGGTCTGTCCAATGCTTGTTATTGCTTCGTCTGGAATGTTTGACAGTAAATAAAGATTAAACCTTTCTATGTTCATGGAGACCAAACCAAGTTACAAGTCAAATCTTTGGAGAGGCGATCCCGCTCAGTCAGAATGTCTGTTTTTCTAGGTATTTTGAGCTATAAAACCAACTGTAACTGAATAAATGTAAGTTAGAGCTGTTTAATGTCATACTGTGGAACATTACAGGCAGAGCAATGACATATCCATAGAAACAAACAAGTGATGTACCTAAGGCTGTGCAATTAATCGAATTTTGATTGCGATTTCGATTTGTGTGTCAAACAGTCTCCAATGCCCTATAATCAAGTTGAAACAAAGTTAAGTTAAAGTTTATTTTGGGATATTATTTGTATAAATAAGTATATTTATTAATTTTTTTTAAAATATAGAAATTGTAGAACAGCTAAATATATAGTTTATTTTGGATACATTTATGTTCAAAGTTGTTCTACACATCGCAAAACTGCTCTACAGTTTTGGTACAGGTTCATATTTGTAGCCTATATTTATTTTTAATTTGAAAGTTTTGGGTAAATTATCAATAAGTGTTTTTTTTTTTTTTTTTTTGAGATAGAGAGAGAGAAATGCTGAATAAATGCATCGTGTAAAAAAATAATCATTTGAATAATCAATTTTTTCCATCATCGAGCAGCCCTAGATGGACCCCCCCCCAATCATAAAGTTACACAGTGAACCTTTAAAATAAAAAGTTAATTAAAAGAGAAATGAACTTGTCTTCACTTACTCGTCAAACAAGTCAAAATAAAATAAAGAGAATTACACCAACACCATACAAACCAAAGGTAGGACTCAAACTGCTCTTTTACATTTTACAGTCAGATGGAAAACTAATAATAATAATAATACAGATATTTTCGGCTTAATTCAAATGGCGATGTCCATTCTTTTGCTATTAATCACGTAGGAGAACTCACACCAGTGACAGTAGCCATAAATTTGGCGTTGACAGGTCGTGAAAACCGAAACGCAGATGGAAGTAACCTTTATAAAACAGTACTGACACTCCTACTACTGCTACTGCGATTGCTACTACAATAACTGCAACTAGCCATTATTTTAGAAGCCCTACTACTCGGCACAATATTTGTTTTTCAAATTAAGACAACAGTACAATCTGCTACTCAACTTAAGTGATGCAACAATCCTCCTCAGACAGTGATTGATTTCTGTACTCCCCTGAGAGGATCTGAAAAGAAGATGGCGTCCAACATAAACAACAGTAGCTAATGCGAGTGGACAAGAATGTAGTTCACTGCGTGTTTTATTGCACTGCCCCGAGCATATCAATACCAGTTAACCGTCTGTCCCACGTAGTACCAGAGTGGACCAGAGTGGACCAAAGTGGAGGAGGGGAGCTGATGCGTACCGTCATGTGCCCTATTCAATGTACAGGCCAATTTATAGCAGGCAATAAGTCCTAATCTAATATAAAGAGCTGGATGCTGCAGATTTTGGTACAATAGTGTTGTGTTGTGTTCGGAATACACAGGCATCAATACCAGCATGTGTAAGAGCATATTTGGTAATGTAGGTGACTTATTTTATGTATTATTGGATACTTTTCAAAGCCAAGACTCAGATAACTAGCTTGGTTTCATCCAGGTTTAAGGTTTAAGTCCAGTTTTTGTCCAGCTTTGGTCCAGGTTTAAGTCCAGCTTTCGTCCAGATTTTGTCCACGTTTTGTCGAGCTTTAGTCGAGCTTTAGTCCAAGTTTAGTCCAAGTTTAGTACATGTTTAGTACAAGTTTAGTACAAGTTTAGTCCAAGTTTAGTCCAGGTTTTCATCCAGCTTTAGTCAAGCTTTCGTCCAGCTTTAGTCCAGGTTTAGTCCAGCTTTCGTCTGGGTTTAAGTCCAGGTTTCTTCCAGCTTTCGTCCAGCTTCAGTCCAAATTTTCATTCAGCTTCAGTCCAAATTTTCGTCCAGCTTTTATTCCAGGTTTTCGTCCAGGTTTAGTCCATGAATCATTTCTAGAGAGCTACCAAAGGACTAAACCAGAGAATAAACCGGAAGTAAACCAGGACTACACAAAGGACTGAATAAAGAACTAAATGAAGTATTCAACACAAGCTAAACCAGGACTAACCCAGAACTATTAGTGATTCATGATCTTCTTTCCTGGCTGATTCAGAACACATCCGTTTTTTTTTTTTTAGTCCTAGTTGGTAATATTTCCTGTTTTGATACTAAAGCCTCTTGGAATACAGAAAAAAAACTATGAGGTGACATAAAATACACATTAAATTATGTTAAAACAATAAGAACATGTATCCATATAGTTGGACAGATTTCTTAAGGCCACTGAATATTCGAGGATTCAAGGATTTAACGTGAGAAAAGAAGCTCCACGACTCTAGATTCCATGTTATTAAAACTGCCCATGAACGCACCACATGGTCACAGAGAGCTGAAACAGGAAATGACCCACTCAGAGGAAGTGGCTACTCACAGTGTGTTTGGGCATGGGGGGCAGAGCGGAGGGGCTGCTGGGGTCCTGCTCCTCCTTCAGGATGTGCTCAGGCCTCATGTACGAGTCATAGAGACCATCACCGTGACGTGCTGTGAGACAAAGAGAAGACAGAGAGGGGGTTTAATGATCTGAGAACTACGAACATCTGTGAGTAAGACGATAACTATGAGGACTGAAAGAGCAACATATGACGAACACCAGGAGCTTTAAAGGAGTCTATAGCTCATTTTTTGCACTTCTAGTTTAGGGGGAAAGAAACACAGATCCATAAATGGGTTCTTGACGTTTGTCTTTTCAAATCTGTAATTTTTTAATGTCACACTGCAGGACAGAATCTAGATTACAACATTAAACTGCTTATATCTTTTTTATAGTTAAAGTGTCCATAAAGGTGTAATATAATTAAATCATGTACACCCGCCTGCCTTTATGTAAACACTTTTTTGATCGTATCTGAGACTAATTTTGTAAAGAAAAGCGTTTCAGTCGAATGTTTTTTGTTGGAAACATCAAAAAAATTAACGCAACTTCATTCTGAAACTATATATAATTTATAGAACAGATATTTGTGCCCAGTTGAGTTGAGTTTTAGATGAAGAAAAATAATTCAGAAAGTGATTTAAAGTGAAAACGGGCGTCATGTCAAGTACCAAAACACATTAAAAAGCAGCCATTTGTGAGGGAAAAACAAACAAAAAGACTAAAAGGCATTTTGAACAAAACCATAATGAAGCAAATGACGCAATTTTATCCAATTAGGGACACTGTTGGATAAGAGCCACATGGAAACAACTGACTATCCCAGATACAACTATGACAACAAGGCGACTTTAATTGCTCACTGTTATCTCTCACCTACATTTTTTCATAACTTAAGCAAACAAAATCAGTATCCTCACATTATAAACAAATAAAGCAGTTACCTAGCCACCTGTCTCTATTCATGGCCTTGAGATAAAAATTCCTTCTAGATTGGACGGACTTTGTGAGGACCCAGAGACAACACTCCCCCGTTGAAAAGATAGAATATTTTTATGATTTGAATTGCTTAACTGCTATGATCACTAAAGCTGGTTGCCATAGCTTGAAACCCATGAATAGATAGATGTTTAATGCCGCACTATGGAACATTCCAGGAAAAGGAGACAAGCAGGTACCCTCCACAAGACAAGTTACAAAGTGTACCTTTATCAAATCAAAACTGTGCATCAAATCTTTTCTATCTAATGAGTATTCATGGGTTTCAGCTTCCTGTTATATGGAGCCATTTAAGGACTGTTGACCATTTAAGATATAATATTTTGTTATGAATTGTGAAACTGAACTATGTAACTTTTTGGTTAGGGGTCTGTCGACTGTTTCTATGGACATTAGGGTTGTGCAAAAATATCGAAATATTGATATATCATATAGTTTAGTGTGATGATACAGTATCGATATCGGGGACTGCTGTATCAATATATCGCCAAGAGTATTTTTTGGTAAATTTTACTAAATTATTTTGTTACTTATTGGCAACTTCTTAGTGATACCCAGCTCTAATGAACATGTCATTCCTTTTCCTGGAATGTTCCACAGTATACCATTAAACAGCTCTACTTTACGTTTATTTACTATTTAATTCCAGGTTGGCAAAAAATGCCTAAAAAAACAGACGTTCTGACTGTGAGCGGGTATGCCTCTCCACAGATCTGACCTGTAAATTGATCTGGTTTGGTCTCAATGAAGATAGAAAGGTTTAACACCATACTGTGAAACATTTCAGATAAAGCAATAACATCTCCACAGAGAAAAAGAATTGACAGACCCTTCACCAGAAAAGTTCCACGATGACCCTTTAATGGCTACGGCGATGGTCCTAAGTTTTGATCATCCTGAAAACTATGACCAGTGTAACGTGCGAAGCTCAGATGGGGCAGAGGGCAGTGGAGGTCTAAAAGTGGCACGGAGGCATTACTGGCCTTAATGTGAGGAGCAGATGTCGCCGTGACGACAGCGTCCGGCGACCTGCCCCCGATCTGCAGGTGTGTGCATGGATCCTGAGCCTGGGCCATTCCATGCCGACATGTAGGGCTATTAGGGCAGGGAATCATTCAGAAGTTGCCGATACGATACATACCTTGATACATAGGCCACGATACGATACATATCTCGATACAGTGCACTTTTGATTCGATATGATGCAGTTCACTAAAAAATAAAGGCTAAATCATGGCTGTGATACTAAAAAGTCTTTGTTAAACCACTTCTTGTACAAAGTTCATATGAGAAACACCCACTTTATCATTAAAACAGTGAAAATGTCAAATGTGTCACATAAACGAGTTTCCTTATATATATTATATTTCAATATTGTTGCACACCCCTAAGGGGCCCTTAGTAAGGGCTATAGAGGATAAGAGGAAAACATTGGATTAATTTTTTGTCACTTGGATCAATCTTGATTTCTATTCAATTAGAGTTTTTTCTTTCTTAAAAAACAATTACATTAGACATAACAGAATCTTAAAGCATTTAGGTTGCTGAGAGAAAATGTTAATATACAACCACATAAAAATGCAAAGGTAAGCTAACTGAAACTAAACTACCATTAAAAGGTGCATTGTGTAACTTTTCTGGGTCCGTCAAATGCTTTTCTCCATGAAGATGTTATTGCTTTGCTTGAAATATTTCACAGTATGGTATTAAACCTTTCTATCTTCATGGAGAACAAACCAAACCAAGTTACAGATCAGATCTGAGGAGATGCGAATCCACTCACAGTCAGAATGCATGTTTTTCTAGGTATTTTTGAGCTATAAACCCACCTGTAATTGAATAAATTAGAGATGCGCGGATGGCGGTTACAGCCGCGGACTCCGCGGCTAAACCGCGGGTCGGGCGGATGACGTGACGAAAAATAATATTTTAATTAAATTCGGGCAGGTGGCGGTTTCACTACTCAAATAAAAAACTCTGATCTCGGAGCAAATGGGAGGGGACCGAGCGGATGGCGGGCGGGTGTGGTTTTGAAAACTGGATAAAAACTGTGGTTGCAAATAGATAGCGGGCGGATGATGAGTTTTGCGATGCGGTTGCGGATGAAAAAGTAGCCCATCCGCGCATCTCTAGAATAAATGTAAGGTAGAGCCAAAAGTTACACAGTGAACCATTAAACTATTATGTAATTGTTGTGTTTTGCTATATTGTGACCTGTACAATCACGGTCATTGATTAACCAAATAACCTCGAATCCCTTATCGTTTTCAGGTCTATCTGGATCGCTCTCTTTGTAAAAGCTTTTACTTGAAATATAGACCTACTTATCGCTTCAAGTGAAGGAGTTATTTTGTTTGAGATATGGGAAACCTTATCTAAAACAAAGAATTCGTGGGTTCCATGGTAGGCCGATACAAACTGAAAAGAACATTTGAACTACACTGTAATACCCTCTCGATACTTTACTATAATGACACAAGCCTATTTAGTTCACACTCCTACTTTTAGACTTTTTAAAGATTATAATTATATTTAAATTTACCATCTTGTAGTTTATCATATGAGGTGACCGTGACATCTTGGTTTTGTCATATTTTAAACACCACATTGTCGTACTGCTGTTACTAACTGTTAGTAACGTCGCTGAGGTCTGGTGGGGTGGGCAGCATGATGCGTTCGGGTTCTGTGGGACGAAGCGTTTCTTGGATGACAAACTCCCGAGCACCGGCTGTTCATCTGCAGCTCAAGTGAAGTGAGAAGACTGCAGACATGTGCCCTCTGCGCTATGTTACTATGGCTGCAAATGGACTCCACTAGAGGGCTGGCTTTTTTCAGTTTATTTATTTATATTATTTGTCTTTCTACTCTTTATTTTCTTCAGTTTTCAGACTCATTTAAAAACTGATCAGGCACATAGAGGCAACGTCACTGCAAAGTATAAATACGGTGTGGATGTGATGTTCTGAGCAGTTCTAAGGTCTTGGTTTACGACACTAGTTTTTTTTTTTTTTTAACAAGTGCGCCTTCCATGTTTTGTTTTTTTTTACCTTGAGTTCAGTGACACAAATAATCTGAAGTCCTATGCGGAGAACTGAATATCCCTGAGTGGAAATGGTGTCTGTCGTCTCCTGTGTAAAAGCAGCCAACAATGTAATTACAAACATGGTGTGAAGTCCATGTGATTCTGGTATGAGTTTAGCGCTTCATATTGCAGTCTTGCACATTTTAAAACTCCAGAATGCATGTTTAAAATGTTTCAAAATGTCACTCTTAAACACTAAACTACCTCCATATATGATTTTGTGGTCCATTTTTATTTCAAACTGGTTCAGTCCTTTGCCCTGGCCGTGTTTGTGTTCCACTCAATGATTAGTTCAATTAGTTTAGTTCAAGAAGCCTTATGTTGTTTTTCTGGTGGAGGGTCTACCACCTGCTAGTCTGATTCATCGCCTGGTTTCACTTCGTAGAAACCGTCTGACCTCGCAGTGTTAGAATTCGTTCGCTCGACGGTAGGCGGGTACTTTTTATCATTTAACCAGTCGCTGCTATTTGGTCGTGTATGTAATGCGCTGCTAACAGGGCTAACTGATATATTAACAGGGTATCCCCAGGTTTGACGAGCTCCAATTTAAGACCTTTTAAAGACCTTTTTAAGACGACTTAAATGAAAATTAAGATCAACATCACACCCATTATGCGGGCGAAAAACTCCAGATCCAATTCTAATAATGATCAACTAACTACTAGCTACAACCTAAGAGTCACTGTCGATTAAAACCGACACTTTTTGTTTACTCACTGCCACCGGCGCCAGAAACCAAAGTATTGTTTGCATATACTCCAAATTAGACGTTCATGCACATTAAGTGATTTCCACATTGTTGTTTTTTTTTCCTCCCTCCGTTTAACACTGCAGCCTGGTTGAGTAAACAAAAAAATTGGCTAATGAAATTTAAGACCTTTGTGAAAAAAATTAGACCTGGGCAACATAATTTAAGACTTTTAAAGGTCTTAATTTAGGAACATGAAATTTAAGACCTTTTTAAGACGTTTAAGATCCCGCGGCTACTATGATTAAGCTTTTCCCAAATCCTGTAGGAAGAAGGGCAATAACATCTTTCCCCTTAATGAAATTCACCAAACATTCTCTTTGTTCCAGCTTTAAATCCTCAATCTAGTCGCTGGAGAGAAATGAAATTGAGAGGAGGCACTAGGTGGCGCCAGCCTGGCTAACCACCTACTAGTTTCTATAAAGATGTCATAGCTGCGTACAGATTTTCCATGTATTTTTAACAATGTAATTGAATAAATACAAGATAAATTTGTTTGAATCCATATTACGGAACATTTCATGCATGGATACAAGCACTTGGTGGACTCCTCACCTCCTCCTCAGGTAAGCTGTGGAGCATCAGTGTGTCCACCTGTTCAGATTTACACTGCAGCTTTAATCATTTCATAGGTGGCAGTTGTTATGAGGTCTGGTATAATCGCGCATGTAGCATATTCTGATCCTGTTACATAAACATGGAAACAGTGCGCTGTACGGGACAGGCCCATGAGACGAGACAGTGCCCAGGTACGTCAGAGGAGCAGCTCAGGGACAGATTAAAGCTCTGCTGCTGCCTGGAGACAAACGCATTAGCCCAGAACAGAGGAGCGCAGACTGAAGGGCTGTAGGTCTGTTATGATAATTACTATATCAACTTATTGTTCAAAATACAGATACATTATAAAGTAGGGTTTTTTCCGTGACCAATGCCGTTACTGATATATGGAGCAAACAATGGCCAATAAACTGTGCCAATATGTAGGGTAGATTTTGATTCTTTACCACAAACATAATAGAACTGTGTAGCCAGATTTTGTGCAGCTATCTCTATATTAAAATAAACTTTGTGTCTTTTTTAGGCAGCAAATTGATCAAAACAAAATACCAGCCTGTCCTGAAGAGTTAAAGCCGAAAGTCCAAATATCTATGTACAGTATTTTTCGGACTCTAAGTTGCACTTTTTTTCATGGTTTGGGTGTTTCCTGCAACTTATACTCCAGTGTGATTTCTATATTAAACTATATAAAATACTATTTTCACACTGTGAGAGGGTGCTCTAGGCTAGTGTATCAATATCTGCTACTCCTATTACTTCTGTACCTCATGTCTCCTGCAAAAAGGGCCTCTGACCTACTACAAGTAGTGAAATATTCAGACGGTAAACGAAAGACGGTAATTGAGCAGCAGAAAGAAAGTTTGGAGTGACTGGCGGAAAGCGGGGATGGAGAACACAGCTTCACGGCAACCGGGAGGGTGCACCATGCAACTTTCTTGGAAGTCACCGGATGAAATTGACAAAGCCTGGACTTCAGTGACAGCCGAAACCATCCAGTCGGGATTCAGAAAGGCCGGAATAATTCTAACTGGAACTGATGCCGAGTCTGACAACAGCTACACAGAAGAGGAAGAGGCGCTCCATTTACCTCCAGAGGTCGAGGAGTTGCTCAGAAGTGACACAGAGGATGAAGAATTCAGTGGATTTAGTGATTTGGAGTGAGATGGAGAGTTTGTTAAACTTGTTCTGTTCTGTTGTTTATACTATATTTATCTAAAGAACTGTTCATATGTGACGTTAACAGTCTGTTGTTCTCTGTTCTATTGTTATTACTAGAACTTGCCTTTCAAGATGAAATGTCAATTCCTGGTCTCTGATTTCATAAAATACATTTCCCACAAAAAGTTCCACTTAGTGACTTATAGTGTGGTGTAACTTATAAGTGTTTTTTTCTTCTTCATTACTGTATTTTTCGGACTATAAGTCGCACCAGCCAAAAAATGTGTAATCAATATATGTGTCTATCTCTACTTTGAATACCCTCAATAATTATTGCGTGTACCTTTTCTTTGCACCAGTACAGCATTTTTCTTATTTGTGTAGTATTCGGCCAGTATGATAACAACTGAAGCCCACAGATAAATACAACTCAAAATGTAATAAAGCCAGATTGGTAAATACGGCTCAATAGAAGTCAAGATGTTTTTTTGGCTGATGTATGTAGGGCTGAGAATTTCGGTATTTGTTGTTACATTAAGTAGTTATAACTTGATTTAGTGCTAGTAGTACTGATCTGAAATACCAAAAAAAAGTGCTATGTTACATCTATTATTTGTCCTAAAACTAGGTATTGATTTTTTTTAACCAATTAAGCATTAGAATACAAACCACTGCATATTGGATTTTTACTTAATTTGACTCAAACGAAAGTCAAATGAGTCATCGTCGGCAGTCTGAGTCATCAAACCTCTACGGCCTGGGATGCAATTTGGAAATCATTGTTCACTGAGGATGGATTAGTTGCAATAAATCCAGGAAGTTGTCTCTGACCCATCAATACTTAAAGGTCCTATGTGACACAAAATGGTTTCTTGTGAGATTTAAGCCATGTTAGAATGATGTTACCTCCACAAAAACATACATGGAGTTGGGTTTTGTTTGAGTTGTAGTCAGTTTAGTATCTCCAAAGCTCAAAATGAAGAAATCTTGTTTGTGTGTTAATGTGTGAATGAAACAAAACACAACTCCAGGTATCTTCTTGACGAGGAAATAACATAATATAGATCAGAAAATATTGTAATATACGCCATTTTGAATTAAATTGGCAAGTCCAGGAGTTGATTTCTTCGGTAAATTTCATAGCAGTTACATGAAAAATTGCTTGTTTTTTTATATTCTAATCACTCCACCACTCTCATCTCATCATCTTTTGAGATTCGAGCACTTTCTATCCCAACATCTGACTTTGTTGTTTGTGCAAATTCACGCCGAAAAAAGAAATAAACACTTGTAGGCCCACTGTGACCACAAACATCCAGACAGCCGAGTCCATGTGACCCTGGAATCGCACTGTGAAATTCCCTCTCCACAAACACAGCTGAGCATGTGCGAGCTAATGTGCTAGGCTAGCGGCTATGGTCCCATAAAAGGGTCTGGTTTCAAAGTAAAGGTGTTACAAAGGGCAGAGTGTTGCAGTTCAGATGTAGTCCTGGTTTAACCCAAGCCGAGTCCTGGTTTGGTCCTGGTTAAGTCCTGGTTTAACCCAAGTCAAGTCCTGGTTTAGTCCTGGTTTAACCCAAGTCAAGTCCTGGTTTAGACCTGGGTTAACCCAAGTCAAGTCCTGGTTTAGTCCTGGTTTAACCCAAGTCGAGTCCTGGTTCAGTCCTGGGTTAACCCAAGTCGAGTCCTGGTTCAGTTCCTGGTTGGGACTTGACTTGGGTTAACCAAGTCGAGTCCTGGTTCAGTCCTGGCTTAACCGAAGTCGACTCCTGGTTTAGTCTTGGTTCAGTCCTGTTTAACCCAAGTTGAGTCCTGGTTTAGTCCAAGTCGAGTCCTGGTTTAATCTGGGTTCAGTCCTGCTTTGAGCCAAGCTGGGTCCTGGTTCAGTCCTTGTTTAGCCCTTGTTTAGACCCTGGTTCAGTCCAGATTCTGGAAAGAATTCTACTTTTGATTTACCTGCATTAAATAGTTAGTACTTCCAAGATTTGAATCTGTTATAATAATCTTAACAATACAAAACAGTCATATTTGAAAGTAAGTGCAATTCAAGATGACGAAATATGCATGCAACATATAAAGCTCCCAGGAGTCCCAATGCAGTCCCAACTGTAACAAAAAATCAAGTGTCAGTGACCAAATATGAAGCCAAAGATCTATTTTTGGGGTATTTCTTGGCCTACATCTGCAGAACCTGAAATCTGAAGTACAAGACTAAAGTAGCACAAGCTAAAACACCTGAAACTGAAAATTTTAAAATGTATAATAGTAATGTAGTAGCCTATAACTTGGAGAAAAAGTGACAAATTTTTGGATAATTATTTTTGACAACAAACAGGGAATTCCACTGTATTATACCACCGGCATAATAAAAACTCTAAACAGAATTTGAAGACACAACAACTGATAGCGGTGTCGTCTGAACTACTTCGAAACTGCATTTCAACAAAGTGGCAATATAGATAAGCTCGACTCCTGAATCACACGTGACTAATTGCTGACTGGAAATTCAAGCAAAATCTCCCAACATGGCACAAATTGCTAATGAAGCCATAAAAAAGTAGCTGACATGTGCAAAGCTAGATAAGAATGATAAGAATCTTACTGCCAAGGCGTAAAGGACAGCATTATAATCCCAAAGAGCGTGTCCCAAAACACAGAGTGAGCGGCGATGCGCGAGTCTCGTGATTGGTATGGCAACACAACGCACAAGAAAACATGTTTACGTCGCAGCTCACGTCTTCAAGTCTTGTAAGAAAAGATCTTTGGAAAATCTGCATCTGTCAACCCTCATGTCCGCGGGGCGACGTGAATTGACACCCAAGACGACTGGTCAAGAAAATAAATGGGCGATCAAAGCAATTTAAGGACGCACGATATTTCTGTAAACGCAGCGATGGTTGCCAGTTCCACGAAAGGTGGAAAGTAACAGATGTCAGACATACAGTTTTGACATGACATGGATTTAGGATGAACTTCAGGTTGGCAAAACTAGGACACGTTTAAGAACTTAACATACACTTTTGTACATGACCTGTGATCGTTTGTGCCATGCACTGCAAGCAAAACAAAGCTATCCAGGCTACTTCAAAGTTTTGAATTTGTCATTTATGAGTAAAATATGTGCAGATGAAGCAAATCAAATCATTTTTAGATCATTTTTGTGTATTTCATTGCAATTATACAAAGGAAAAAAAGTTTAATCACTTATTGTTGTTCTTTGCAAGATATAAAACAACATTTGGCAAAGCATCCCAATTTCAACTTAAAAACTTATTTTTAAGTTGAAATATAAAAACAGTGAAAGAACACTTTAAAACTCTTGCAAAACTGTGTCAATTCTTAACAACACCATGCAAAAAATTACAGAAAATTATACGTTTAAAATAGTTACCTGTTGCAATTGGACCCTCTGGTTTTCGGCTTATAATCATCATGATTGCAAGAAAATTGTGATGCCAGCATCCAACGTGGAGAAAAACTTCAAAATAACTAAAAAAAAACACTAAAGGTTTCGCCTACATTCACGCTAACAGCATTTAGGAACAAAACACAGTCCAGGTAGTTTCGCTTGAACGCAGCTCACGTTGTTTTTATCAGCTTTATTGTCGGATTTTATCATAAATTGTCCATGATTTCTGTAAAATAATGTTAAACAATGATTTCCTTATAGTTTCCAAGTGGTAGCGGCTAGTAAAAATGAGTTAGTGTTGATTGTTTTAGGTTAAACCCTGAGATATTTTGGGGGGTCGCTTCTCGCCTCCTCCTTGGTTAGCCGCTCCGGAGCTAGCTCAAGCAGCCACAAAAATCCTCCCGACAAGAGCCGCTCCCTTCGGTCAAAAAAACAGCCACAGTCCGCTGGGTAGTACCACTCGGCGCCCGGTTTCCCCTCGCCTTTCTCTGTCTGTACAAGCAGTAGGCTCGGAGCACCATTCCCGTACAGATCCCCCCGGGTAAATCTTTGAAAACAACAGCGACTCGAGCGCTTGGGCAAACCCGAAAATGTGTGCCCCCCTTCGGCGTGCGAGGAGGGGGAGATCGCGGTCCTCTCCGGGGCTAGCTTCGGTCAAGAGGGAAGCCCCATGGTTCGGATGGCGGGGGAAGCGGGGATGGCTGGTTGCTGTCGACGCGGAAAGGTTCACCTGAGCGGATAGAGGTGCAGATGGGCTCGGTGTAGGTTTAATCCTGGCTTGTGAGTGGCTGGACAGTGTCTTATTCGACGCCGCTGTGGAGTGTTGTTGCTGAGGGCGTCTTCGGTGATGTGGGAGTCCGGAGCGGGGCAGCGCGCAGGGGCGGTGCTGAGCGAGGGGAGCGCAGGGGAGAACCAGCGGAGGGGCGGTGCTTACGGGGAGAGCGTGCAGAGGGCAGACAAACGAGCGCCGCCTAGTGAGAGCACAGGGAAGTGATAGAAGTGTTCAATACAGTTTGTCCCAGTAACACAAATGTACAAGAACTACAAGTACCCACTTTGTGCCCAAGGAAGACAGTGTTCAGTTTGGTTTTAAAAAGTGGTTTATTGGTTTTCCATATTGAAAAAGTAGCCAAATTAAAACAGACATATACATAAACATGAAAAATCCAAAATATAGGCCTAAAACTTAAGACTTAGACTTAGACAAACTTTATTAATCCACATGGGACATTGTCTGGACACAGTAGCTCCCACATCACAATATAATATAATAACAAAGAGTAAAAAAATATAAATAATACTAATAAAAAACAATAAATTATAAAGATATATACAAGATACAGTTTGTTCCGTAACACAAATGTACAAGAACTACAAGTACCCACTTTGTGCCCAAGGAAAACAGTGTTCAGGTTGGTTTAAAAAGTGGTTTATTGATTTTCCATATTGAAAAAGTAGCCATATTAAATTAGGCATATACATAAACATGAAAAATCCAAAATATAAGCCTAAAACTTAAACTTAGACTTTGGATAGGGGTGTGCAAAAATATCAATATATAGTATCATTTAATGAAATGATACAGTATTAATATTGTAAATAACCTATAGTATAATTTGTCTTTGTTAAAACCTTTTGTGACATTTTTTTATTATTATTTTTATATTGCACTATTTTCTGTTGTTAACCATTAACTTACGCGTTTATGTTTAGCGCTTTTATTTTGAAGGGTTTATTTTCGTTTAATTACCTTGTCAACGAGAAGGGAAAAACATTATATGGAGTCTTTGTTTAGCTTCCCATCTGAAGAGGCACAAAGGTATGTTATTGATTTTAATTTTTTTTTTTTTAAATAACTTTGAGTCTCTAGTTTTTTATCATTGTTGATTGATGTTGTCAAGATGAATGTAAATAATAATTAAACTTGCATTGAATTTTGTGAATGCATATTTACACTCTATATTTTGTATTCCTTTTAGCTCTTACAGCAGATTGGAGGATTTATTGCCATTAAACTTTAAAATTGCCAGTTCATGTGTCAGTCTTCATTCAGAGGGGTACACAACAAATATCGTGGGTTGCTGTATCGATATATCGCCAAGAGTACTTTTTGGTACATTTTGCAAAATTATTTTGTTACAGCGCTACAGTTTTGTTGCTTGTTCAGAGGAAGGAAACTCATTTATGCGACACATTTGACATTTTCACAGTTTTTTTTTTTTTTTTCACAGTTGTTTTTTTCACTGTTTAAAATGTTTGTGTTTCATATGAACTTTGCACAAGAATTGGTTTAACAAAGAGTTTTAGTATCACAGCCATGATTTAGCCTTTATTTTTTATTGAACTGTACCGAATCAATTTGAAATATATTGTATCAAATCGAAACCTCACTGTATCAAGATATGTATCGTATCGTGGCCTGTGTATCGAGGTATGTATTGTATCGGCAACTTCTTAATGATACCCAGCCCTAGACTTAGACAAATTTTATTGATCTACAAGGGAAATTATTTGGACATAGTAGCTCAAAATGGTAATAAGAAATTATAAATAAGTAGCAAAAACGATAGCAAGAGACTGGTGTCAAATAAGGAATAATTGTATAAATGTAAATGTACAAGTCAAAATAAAATAGAAAAAAATAAATAATAATAAAAAAAAAAACTTTGAGGTAAAAAAAATAAATGAATAATAATAATAGACAAAACAAATATTTCAATCATGTATAGGCTGAATGCATTGCTGCAGAAATCTGTTTTATGTTTAACTGTTCAATCAACCAAACATAAAAGCGCACTGTGTAACTTTTTCTGGTAGACGGTCCGCCACCTGCTTGTTTCCATCGAGATGATTTTACTTTGCTTACTTTGGAATGTTCCACAGTATAGCAATAAATGTTATTTTGCATGAATTCAATTACATGTGTTTTTATTGCAATTTAAAAAAAAAAAATAGCTTGAAAAACATATATACTTCATGTGCATATCCTTGCCAATCCATGGATCTGACCTGTACCTCGGCATAATGGGGTCATCTGCTTGCGTCCATGGAGACAGATAAATTTAGATTTAAGAGGTAGGACAGGAAAAGTAATACTGTCTCCATGGAAACAAGCCACACTGTAACCGATGTTGATTATAATATTTTTAATTTTCAGGAAAGAATGGCCTGTGGGAACTATTTGTAAATTTCCTAAGTAGACATAACCATAACTTTTGAAAATGCAGACATCTTGTTACGAAACACGGTTGTAAACTTAGCTCTAAAGGTGAGCCTCCTTTTTCCAGGGGTCAGAGGTCAGGGTGCACTGGTATTTTCCATGTCACACGTTTAGTGGACATGCTGTAAACTGGGCTGACACAGTTAGTGTGTCTTGTTATGTGAATGCTGGAAAGTACCTTTAAATCATGCTCAATTTAAGATGAACACTTCAAGAGAGATGTTTTTATTGTTATGTTTTGATCAACAGCAGTGGCACAGTTGTTAAGTGTTTACCTGTCAATCAGAGGGTAACACAACAAGTCAGACTGAGACCTTCATACAGTCAACTGTATAAGAGCTTCATTATATGGGTTTAAATTTACATCAAATTACAGCCACATTTTATCATTAAAATTACATTTGTTTTTACTGCAGATTTTATGGCACTATAGTCACCAATAAAAATGGTCTTTTTGGCTATTACCGAACTGGCTCTTGCACCAAACGAAAATATGACGAGCCCACTGAGTTCCATGTTTTTTAAGATATTTCTGAGCAATAAAAATCCACCTGCAATGAAATCAATGTTGGAATACTTGTACTTACTCTGCAACATTAAGCCCTGGCAGTAATATCTCCATGGAGACAAGCAGGTGGCATACCTTCCACCAGAAAATGTACACACTGCACTAGAGATAGACAGATATATTGAGCCGATATTTGGACTTTTGAGCATATCACCTATCAGTCTTAAATCTCCAGCACAAGCTGATATTTTGTTTTGGCCAACCTGTTGTCTAAAGAGTACACATAAAGTTTTATTTGAACAAGTTAAGGCAATGCTCAAATCCTCAAAACATGACTACGTAGTCCTCAAAGTTCAAAGTTAGCTTTATTGTCAGTTTTTTCACATGTACTAGATATATAAAGGCATCGAAATTATGTTTCTCTCCATCCCATGCACACAAACACAAAAAATCCCATATCTCTAACCACTACAGTAGTGTTCTAGTCAAGAACGCACTAATTGAGACCAAGACCTGTCTGAAACCACAGGGCCCAGAGACAAGGACTAGACCAAGACCTCTGAGGGTCGAGACTGAGGCAAGACTGAGACTTTTAAAAGCCGAGACTGAGACAAGACTGAGACCACAGCCCACAGAGACCAAATCGAGACCATCTTTTGTCATTTTTAACATTTATTTTTATTTTGCAGTTATTTTGGCACATATGTATATCGATGTTTTTATAAATCTATCTCCACTTCATCACTCGAGTGTTGGACCTCGAGACTGACACAAGACCGAGTCCAAGCACATTCAAGATCGAGACAGAACTGTGTCCAAGCGCCTTCAAGACCGAGACGAGACCGAGTCCAAGCACTTTCAAGACTGAGACAAGACCGAGTCCAAGCACCTTCAAGACTGAGACGAGACAGAGTCCAAGCACTTTCAAGACCGAGACAAGACCGAGACCAAGTACCTTCAACACTGAGACGAGGCCGTGTCCAAGCGCCTTCAAGGCTGAGACAAGACCAAGTCCAAGCACCTACAAGACTGAGACAAGACCTAGCCCAAGGGCCTTCTAGAGCGAGACAAGACTGAGTCCAAGCACTTTCAAGACTGAGACAAAACTGAGTCCAAATGCCTTCAAGACCAAGACAAGACCGAGTCCAAGCATGGTCGAGTCCGAGACAAGATCAAGACTGTAAAAAAAATAGACAAGCCTCGAGTACTACAGCCCTACATTACAGTAACCATAGATAAATACATAAAGCTAAAAACACGAGTGTACGGTGCAGCGCATTTCAAGTCAGATCAAGTATCAGCAGCAGTAGTTCTCATGAAGGCCTGTGGTAAAAGGGGAATGTTGGTTCACAGTCATGAGTTAAAATGACATAATTTGGCAAAAATAATTCAAATCGGCCTTATATATCGGCACAAAAATATCGGCAGAGCTTATTGGCCATTAGTCGCTCTGAATTTTAAACCATAATATCAGCATGCTCTTGTGGTGTCCAGGTAACATCTATGCAGTTACCTCTACATAATCACAACTGCTGCCCATGTCCAACCATTTTTTGTCAAATCTTAAATATAGTTATGAAATGTTAACTGTTTTGAAATGAATAGTCTAGCGTGTCTTTGGGGTCGCACTTTAAACCCAACCCATTTTCCATTAAACAGCAGAATCAGCTCTCATGCTTTAGTGTATTTGGTCACCGAATTCTGGTCCAGCTGGGATCGTAATCGGATCTGCATGGACTCGGTACAAGGCCGGGGGGTATATTTAGCCCATAGCACAGACACAGGCATGAGAGCAGCCCCGAGGCTAAATACAAGCGCTGATCTGAGGTCTGCTAAAGTTAGCTCCAACTCCGAGGTGAGAAGTGAGTCCCGCCATATTTGCTCCCATAAATAAGACACTGGCGCGGATCCGGCAGCAGCAATTTACACCCGCTGGCCTCTGCTGGATCCAGCCCAGGGGGGAGAGGCCAGGCGCTCATTACTTTACCGCAATATTCAAGTAATTAAAGACGCACTATGTAACTTTTCTGGCAGAGCGTCCGTCAGCTGTTCGTCTTGAGGTTTTATAACTTAAGTGGAGCATTATAATTTTACATTTTGCTCATCGCCAGCCGCATTATTCATCTGTGACGACTTTGTATTTATTTATTTATTTGTT